GCCCTGAGTCCCCTCAGGGAAAAGGGCGGCCTACAAATGCTAATAAAACCTAAAAAACCTAAAACCTAAAGCAGAGAAGGGAGAGGCGCGATGGAGCCTGGACGATGCTGTGCTCTGTGCTGGAGGGGGCTGACAGGTAAGAGAGGAGACGGGAGCTGCCGGAGGGGACTTCCCGGGAAGGGGAGCAGAAGGGAGCCTGCAACTTTTCTGGAGGCAGCGGCTAGGTTGGCAGGAGAGGAAGGGCTGAGAGCAGAGACGGAAAGCGGTGGAGACGGTTGGTCTAGAGTGACCCCCCCAGGTTCTGAGTGTGAGGACAACATCTGGACCCTGGGAAGGAGCCCACGGAGGGTGAATCATCAGCTCACAAGCAAAGAGGTTGCCGGAGAAGAAAGTGGAAAAAGAGCCCAGTCCACCCAAAGGAAACCTAGGCCACGAGAAGAGCCTCCGGGGGAAAGATCCCTTGCAAGGGCTCACCTTTGCTCAGCCGGGAGAGGGGTGGGGGGAGTCGAAGGCCCTCCAGTGAGAACTGCACCCACAGTAGGCAAGGAGTATCTTCCAAGTGCTTTGGAAACCTCGGGGAAGGTCCCCGCGGGGAAGGCCAAGGGAGGCATACAGCACTTTGGGCTGCGATAAAACAGCCGCCCCACGGCTGGCCCTCACTGACTCGTCCCAGGAAGCTGGGCTGCTGGAGAAGAGGTCCTAGGGCCAGCAGAAGGAGAAGCCCCCTTCTCACACCCGGACAGGCTCAGCATAGAAAAGAGAGGTGAACACAGATGGGTGGAAACGAGGAGGTTTTCTGGAAAAGGCCAGTATTGGAGAGAGGCCATCCCAGGCTGGTTAGAGCAAGCGGTTGCTCCACAGAGGTTCAAGAGCAGCTGGCACAGGGAAGCTGGGCACATGGGCAGCGGCGGCAGGAGAGAGTTTGGGAGACCCCGGGACAGGTGTGATTGGCAGGAATGACAATGGAGGGAGGAAAAGGTCCTGCCTGGAGAGCAGACGGGTAGGTTCCTGTGGTGCCAGGTCCTTTCTCCAGAGAGATCTCTGGATGAAGCAACCTAAGGCAGCCTTTCTCCATCTTGGCTACTTTAAGTTATTTAAAAACTGTTAAGGCAGCATATAAATAAAGCAATGGTGCAAATCCCAAGGGGATGCAGACATCAATCTCTGTGCACAGCAGCCCCTCCCTCCTGAGGCTGGAGCCCCCAGGTCAGGATGGCCACCACACAGGAGACCTTGAATCGAATCCCATCAGAGAAGGGGCAACAACCCTAAGCACACAATTGGCCTAAACCCAGCCCTAGTTCTATATGGATTCAAACCAGTGGTGGGATTCCATTTTTTTTACTACTGGTTCTGTGGGTGTGGCTTGGTGGGCGTGGCTTGGTGGGCGTGGCAG